ATGGATTTTTATAGTCGTTGTTTTTGATATTGTTGTAATTTAGTTATATTGTTATATTAGAGTGTGTTTGTTTTTGTTTAAAGTGAAATAAGGGAGTATATGGGATTATTAAGAATATTTTTTTTCTAAGTGTGGCAATTTAAATAAATCGTCTCATGAGACTAGAAATATGAGAAGTGTGATTCTTATCCCCAAAACTGATATTATTACCTTAATTTATAAAATTAAAAAATAGGAAACAGAATATGGTAATAATGAGACATAAATCCCAGAGATGTCGGAAAGTAAGATCCTTTGGATATGTATGATATGTCGATTACTGATTCTAATTTAAATCCAAATGCATTTAAAAAAATGTTGTTGTGTATTAAAATTTTAACAATTCCTGCGAAAATTGTTGTCAAACAGCGACAGAGCATCTCGTTTTCAAAAATTATTTGCTTTTTATTTAATTCCAATCTACACCTTTGGAATGCCTCTTTAAAAGTTGAAGTAAAAATTTCAAATCTGGGATATATTGTGTTTCAAATTTTGTGTTTCAAATTTTAAAGACATAGAAAATGTTCATACATCCGCCATTTTAATAATGCTTACTGGAAGTTAATATGTAATACTAGTTCATACCAGAAACAGATATAAACTCTTTCCAATACTAGTGGAATTTTTGGTTTCGAATGCTCCAGTGAAAGGAAATTATGCCCGACGTCGAAAAGAATAACTTTTTATTATTAAAAAAAAAACAACAACAACAAAAATGAAATTATTTCATGTCAAAAATATCAGTCCTGGTATAATTCTCGTTGTTGCATTATTTTCAAATCCTAGTTGATTAATTTTCAATGTAGGACCATGTTTAGACATTACCCCGATATAAAATTCAGATGTTTAAGGGGTGGTACTAGAATGTTTCATTCGATATTTAGTAATCATTTCTGGTTTCGGAAGAAAAAAGGCTACTGATAGTTTTTTTTTAGAGAGCGCAGCTTCCAAATCTTACATTCTGAAATTGGTATTTGAATTTGATGACAAAAAACCCCCGGCTTAAAATATTCAATGTAGGTTTTTTTTTGCAGGAAAGGTCCATGTTTTGACATAGTCCCAGTATGCACGACTTGACCAATTTTAAACTATATTAACCCTTTATGGCCCGTTGCCTTCTTTCGGAAAAATTAATGTCCAATATCAAGAAAATCAAATGCAATATCGACGAAAAAATCTATATTAATTGTACATCAGGTTCTTTTTTACAAGAATCAAAAATAATTTGGACGGAGTTGTAACACATTTCGTACATTTTGAAAACGAAGCTATTTAAGAAACTTCATCACTTTTGATATGTGTCCTCCATAATCAGATCTTAACGTGTGTAATGCAAAAAATATATATCTACTCGCTGAGTTTTAAATATAAGCATTAAAACATTTTGTTGCCTATGGCCAAAATTGGGCCATAAAGGGTTAATATAGACATAGTCTGTCATTTCTTTGGCATTTTGTGTTCGAAGAACATTCTGGACATTTTGAGTATTTTGAAGGTCCTTCCTTCATCCTCGAATTAAGGTGGCTACAATTTAACATTTCAGAAATACATTCTGTTAGAAAATCTTTACTGGTGGTTGGTCCATGTAATGTCATATCCGTGTTGAAAAGTCTTCTTCATTTTTATTCATATTTGGAGAGTCCTAAAATCGGTTTCCAATCGTTTGTCTCTCCGGTCTGAGGTATGTACAATTTTTTTCATAACCTACATGAAAGGGTCTCGGATAGTATTCGAAAGGCCTTAGTCTGATTTTCATTAGAGTCAAGCGCAAAGGTCGACTTTTAGATTTTCCGATTCTTGCCTCTGGCCAAAAAGTCGATTTTAAGACTTTTCGATTTTGGCCTTTGACTAAAAAGTCGACTGTTTGATCTTTCGATTTTGTCAAACCTGTTCGAATTTCGATTTTCGACTTTTACTGACTGTTGCAATTTGAGTTTTGTAATAATTAACTGAGTATTTATGAAGAAAATCGAAAGTCGATTTTGAAAAATCGACTTTGTGATTTCTTCAAAGATCAAAAGTCGACTTTAAGACTTTTCAATACAAAAAGTCGATTAATCGATTAGTCGAAAGTCGATTTACTTATCCCTAATTTTCATTCTACTTGTCAGTTACTTGAAATATGGGGCTCTCAGACGATGGAAGGGCTTTTAATGTGCAGTTGTCAATATAGATTTATATTTTTTCAAAGTCCCACCCTATCCAATTCGAAGATTAAATAATGGAAAGTGTATGGAACTGCATATCTTTTAAATTAGCACCACGTTTTCCATCATGTTGGCTGATATAACCTGACGGAATTTAATATTTTTTTAAATAAAAACTCTGGCAAGGAGAAGTTCCCGACTGTTTACGACATAGACTGTACGATACACTCCACTCCGCCCTGTAAAATCGAAGTAGAAAATTTTCGACGTAGAAAAATTTTGTCAGCAGAGAAACATTTCATTCCACTTCGTAGTAATTGGATTCCTCAGAAAAGTTCATAGAAAAATTTTAAAATTTAGAAAATTACTGGCAACGAATTGTCCACAATTCTCAAAGCAAGCTGCTGGAGTTTGCAGTTTGCGGGACCTACAATAAAGGGTTGAAAGGTTTAAAAGCGTAGTCTCCCAATTTTTCCCAGAAAGGCGTTTCCACACTCGAAATACTCATATCATGTTTTCTGCTAGTATAATAAAATGGTAACTAGGAATTCCAGCTGGGTTCAACACAATTGCAATTTTCCGTCACCAAACATTTTCTAAATATTTTTGCTTTCAAAAATTTCCATTATCAATTTTGAAATTTATTTTTTTTTAATAATTTTATTATGAAGAGAAAGTACGGGAACAATACTATACGTTAGAATTATTTTCATATGTTTTTTGTTGTTAAGCGTAGTGCATACTTTTAGGCGCTACAAATTGTTTCTCAAACATCCAGTAATGTGGAACTGTCCTATCAATATTCAATTTGCCAGCACTTCTTTAAGTTAACCCTGTTTTTTTTTAATACTGTTCCTCCTGGACCAACACACAGAATTAACACTAGAACGCCGAAGGCAGTCATTTTGACCGCTTTCCAATTTCAAGTACAAAAGCAACTGTGCTTTTAATGACACTTTTTTTTAAATATGGTGACTTTTTGTACCTCATAGAATTACGTTTATTATAAAAAATTCACCAAATTTTAAAAAAAGTGTCATTAAATGCACAGTTGCTTTTGTACTTGAAATTGGAAAGGGGTAAAAATGACCGCCTTCGGCGTTCTAGTGTTAATAAAATATATTATTAGCCAAAATGTTGAAAGGATTGCCACTTAGTTTCGACATATTTACTAGTTTGCGGGAACAAAGTAATTATGTGAATAAAGCACAGCATTATCCACTGTAAATAACTGTTATATTTAGTTAAAGTTAGTTAGAAATAAAAATAATGCTGTAATATTTGTAAAAAATATCAAAAATATCTGCAGTATCCTGCATTGCTTTTCGATTTTTTATTTCCATTTCCATAGTTCATTAGTACACGGTCAATGAACTGGTAGATTTATTGAACGCCTGTATAAGAAGGAAATAAATGAACGAGATCAAAACTGAAAGGCTGTACCAAAAGGAACTAAATGAACGAAAGAATCAGTCGTAGTACCGATAGTTCCTTTTGCCCAATAGTTCCCTTGAACTAGTTCGTTCAAAAGGAACTAGATGGACGAAAGATCTGAACATACTACCATTTGTTCCATTTTCGAAATAGTTCATTTAAAATTGTTAGCTCAAAAGGAACTAGATAAATTAAATAACCAGTCCTAGCACCGATCTTTCCTTTTGCGGAATAGTTTTATTGAACTAGTTCATGCCGGAAATACCTCTCTCTATTAATTATGAATTGGGCCGTTTTTATTGTTGAATGGTATGATGTGGTAGAACATAATACGGACATGATTTTCCGTGCAAAAAAGTATAATTATAAATAGATAAATAACTAAATAAAATTAATTTATGAAATTTGTGTAAATTGTTTAGTACTTGGTAATGGTTTAAAGTAATGTAAATAAATAATAAGACCTTTAAGAACATTTGTTATTTTTTTTTTTATTTGAATAGTTTTGCAATCTATATTTAATTTTATTACATTTTTTTAAATGTAACTATTTAATTAACCGACATATACAATACAAAATTATTTTTAGTGATTTTTTCAATTTATAGTTAGTTGGCATTAAATTTTATATTTTTTGAATAAAATTTATTTTGATTTCATTTAAATCATTTTTACGTTATATTTTCGTTTAAATATTTTATTTTTCGGTGAAGGTTGTTTTTTTTCAATTTTTATTATTGCAAATTGTTAAATTTTTGTTAATGGCTTTCCTTTAAAGTAGAAGCCCCTCTATTTCGTTTGTTTGTGGGTTGCTGGGTTGGTTGTTGCTGTACTTAAATGTTTTGGGTCATAAATCAAAAAATAATTTTTTTCTGAGCAGATGGTTTTTCGAAAAACTTCATCATCATTTTCCGCACATACATTGGGTTTTTTTGTAAACTTTGTAATATTACTTTTTTGGGTTTTTTTTTTTAATTATTCATTTGTGTCTCTGTGTAGATAAATAAGTTGATAACATATATGTATGTGTGTATTGTATGCTCACTCTTACATAAAAAAGGAAAAACGCTTTTAAATTATTAAAACAAAATATTATATTTTTTGCTGTTGGTTGGTTTCCTTGCTCTCTCTCTCACACACACTCATCCACTCCACTTGTTTTCCAACTCACACCATTTCAACATCACTACCACCACTCCTTTTCCACCCATAAACAACACATAATAACAAAACATTTTGTATATATGTATGTATATGTATTTAAATATATAATTTATTTTGCCATTTGTTGATATGCCATAATAAATTATTAATTGTATTTTTTGTTTTTATTTCGCCTTTTTTCTCTTTTTTTGCGGCTATCCTCCCCCCATTTTGCAGGAAGTGATTTTACCCAAAAATCAAGGATCTCTGGGTTTCAGCATAATTGGCGGTACCGACCATTCATGTGTACCATTTGGTGCTCGCGAACCGGGTATTTTTATATCACATGTAAGTATTATTGTGTGTGTGCTTATTGTATTTTGTATTTTATTAATTGTGGTAATTTGACAAATATTTATCGTGGTGTTCTAATGTGTGTAATAAATGATTGGAGCTAAAGAGGTTATGTACGGGTGAAATATGGGGTTTTTATATTTATAAAAATTGGGTACTTTTGAGATAAAAAAAAATACTCAAATGGTTATGTAGTTTGGCTGTTTAACTGAGAGACCCAACATTTGATAACTTATTATTTCCAACAAATGTGACAGAATCAGTTCCATAAGTGGCCACCATGTGGACTACATTTTTTTCTACTCTTTCAAATGTAGGAAAAAATAAATTCCAGGTGTTAAGATGTGCCACAAAATAGAATAGATTATGTTTACTTCATGATAAATAGAGGAAAGTATGCCGTTCATAATGAAAATCAGTATCAGTCAAATAGTCAGGAGAACGCTTACAAAACTATTTCTTGTTTATGCAATTTTTATACCCTCCACCATAGTATGGAGGGTATATTAATTTTGTCATTCCGTTATCTTCTGAAAGAATTGAGATAGGGTGCTGAAATTTTGCATAAAGTTGTCTTTTGTCTGCAGGCAGGTCAAGTTCGAAGATGGGATATATCGGTCCCCAATTTTCGGTATTTTGGGCTTCTTGGGCGTGTTTTTCAACCGAATTCGCTAAAATTTGGTACTTTGAGTTCTTATTAGGTAGCAAATCTCCCTACTAAAAATTATAAATATAGGTCAATTTTTTCTGGTACCCCCCATATAACGGTACCCCTCAATTTTCGGTATTTTGGGGTTCTTTAACGCGTTTTTCAGCCGAATTTGCTGAAATTTGCTACATTGGGTTCTTATTATGGTTCTTATTATGTCTCCACAAAAAATTATTAATATAGGTCCACTTTTTCTGGTAGTCCCCATATAGCGGTACCCCCTAACTTTCAGTATTTTGGTGGGTTTGATCGTATTTTTCCGCCGAATTAGCTGTAATTTAGTATTTTGAGTTCTTAATAGGTACCAAATTTTCCCACAAAAAATTATGAATATAGATCCATTTTTCGGATAGCCCCCACATAAGGGTACCCCCAACTTTCGGTATTTTGGGTGGTCTTGAGCGCGTTGTTAACCGAATTTGCTGCAATTTGGTGTTTTGTAGTCGTATTTGGTAACAAATCTCCCTACCAAAAATGATTAATATTCGCCCCCTTCTTGGGGTCGTCCCCAGAACATAAGGTTCGATAATTAAACTTATATATATATATATACTGTAACCCGCATTTAGGCTTAACCCCTGTGTGGGTGTTACCAGAAGGGACACTTATCGAATCCAGACTTAATTCGATAAGTGTCTGGCAGTCTCATTCGCGGATAGCATAACAACTTCCATTTTTGAAAAAAAAAGAACATTTGCTTTATATAAAGTTCTAATGAAGGCTATACTCCGAATACTCATCTCCTGTTTTCTGCCAGTAGAATAAAAATTTAAAATTTTCCGTTACCAAATATTTTTACTTTCAGAGATTTCCACTATGAAAAAACACAGGACGAATACTATAAGTATTAACGATTGCCATATGTTTTTTGTTGTTAAGCGTAGTGCATACTTTTAGGCGTTACAAACTTGTTCCCAAACATCCAGTAATCTAGAACTGTCCTATCAATGCTATGTAGGTTTGTAGGATTTTTGAAAAAAAAAAAAACATTTGCTAAGTAGGTCTATGTTTTGACATATACATCCATATAAAGGTTCATCTCCTGATTACTGCTAGTAGAATAAAAATGGTAACTAGGAATTCCAGCTGGGTTCGGCACAAGTTAAATTCTTCCATTATCAAACATTTTCGTAATATTTTTACTTTCAGAGATTTCCACTATGAAAAAAATACAGGAAGAATGCTATAAATATTAACGATGCCATATGTTCTTTGTTGTTAAGCGTAGTGCATAATTTTAGGCGTAACAAAATTGTTCCCAAATATCCAGTAATGTGGTACTGTCCTATCAATGCTAACTAGGTCTATGTTTAATTCGATAAGTGACTGGTTTTCCCATTCTCCGGATAGCGTAACCATTTTTGAAAAAAATGTTAAGTAGGTCTATGTGTTGACATATACCTCCATATAAAAGTCTAATGAAGGCTATACTCATCTCCTGTTTTCTGCTAATAGAAGAAAATTGGTAACTAGGAATTCCAGCTGGGTTCGGCACAATTTAAATATTTCCGTTGCCAAACCTTTTCGTAATATTTTTACTTTCAAATATTTCCACTATAAAAAAATACAGGAGCAACGCTATAAGTATTAACGATTACCATATGTTCTTTGTTCTTAAGCGTAGTGCATACTTTTAGGCGTCGAAAAAAATTATTCCCAAACATCCAGTAATGTGGAACTGCCCTATCAATGCTAAGTAGGTCTATGTTTCGACATATACCTCCATATGTAGATCTCAAGGAGTTTACAGGAAATCGACTCTAAGAACTTTTTATGTGAACACAATTTTATTATGGTGTATTTTGTTTAAATTTGTTAATTTTTTCCAGATTTTGTCATTTTTTATTTTTACTCCTTTGCCCAATTAAATATCACAATTTAAATTTTCGCACTTGTCCACCGACGCCGTCTATCACTCCCGGCAACTTTGATTAACTTTTTGTCTGGATAATACCATTTAAGTTGTCATTTGCAATTTACTTTTTGATTCCGAAAAAAAAAACTTAAAAAATAATCATTAAAAAGGAGACGAAAAAAATATATGACAGACACCATAATTAATCAAACTTTTCTTTTGGTATAATTCGATGTCATCACATTTTTTAAGGCTTGTATTGCATTCGTACTAAATGTAAGGCAAAAAAATTAAAATATTTTAAAAAAGTTTTGGACAAAGTGAGAAGGGGGGACGATAAAAATTAATACAAATTTTACATGGCCTTTGCCAATGGTAACCAAACAAGTCAGGGAATAATTTATATTTTTGTGGGAGTATAGAATGTGGGAAATTCAAACTATTTGTGCCACTATACAATACTTGTTTTTTATATTTTCTAACAGTCCATGTTTCATATTTTATTTTTAGAAATTTGTCTGGTATGTTGGGTATTTTACATCTCATTGTCATTTGAGTTAACGCTGATTACAGGGAATTCAGATTCAAAGAATTATAATTTTTACTGTTTTTCGGCACTTTCACTTAATACTTGCATTATAAAGTTGGGTGCCAAGAGATTACAAAGTGTTGTATGACAAAAGTTTGTATATCAATCAAATAGCTTACAATTAATTTTACCCCAAGGTGGAGTGTATATTAAATATGTCATTCCGCCGTCCGCCCTTCTGTTAAAACCACAATAGAGCTCGCAAATGAAATTTTGCACATACGTTGCTACAACAGCTGGGATGTTTGGTATTGAAAATGTGATATATCGATCCACTTTTGAGAATATGAATATCAATATATCCCAATAATAAGTATTTTGAAGCTTTTGGTACATGTTTCCACCTAATCAGTTGTAATTTTGTATTTTTGGTTTTCACTGGATAGATAAAATAGATCGCTGTGTTAAAGTTTGAGTACTTCAGACCCGATTTTCAACCATATAATTTTTTCGTTCTCCGTGGATGACCAATTTTTGTTTTTGTTACTAAAAATTACCGATATCGGCCCATAATCAGGTACATTACCCATATAATAGTACATCCAATTTTTCGTATGTCCACCTGGGGTGAGGTGGATTTGAATCATCCCTCATTACAATCAACATACAGATCGCAATTTGGAATATTTACGAAAATCATTTTATGATTGTGGATTATATTTAGAATCTAACGGATTCTCAACTATATTTTTGATTTTTTTCTATAAGATCTACAGAAAAATTTTATGATACGAACCACGCACATTATAAGTGATTGTGTAACGATAACGTATTATATCAAATCATCAATATAGAGTATTTATTGTAAATTGTCTGTAAGTAGGTTGTTTATGCTCTAGGAAAATTAAATGCCAAACCAAAAATTAATATTTCCGGGAAAGGAGTATGTTACTAACCAGGAATCTAGAATACCAAAATTACAGTCACATTACTGAAAATGAGCCGGATCCGTCTTAATGTGGCCGCTATTTATAAATATAGATAAAAAAGAACCCGGCATGCCATGTTACAGACACTTTGTAGGGAAATGCATCATCAACCAAAGGTTAAATTGTGGCTAAAGACTGAAGTCTTCGAAAAATTCGAAAAAAGATGTTTCGAAAGGAGAGAAAAATTATGTATATGTCACTTTTTAGTACCCAGTCGTCATATCTTGATTAGTGAGTCGATCTAGACATGTGTGTCCATCGGTGCGTCTGTCCACAATCGTCATGAAATTTTGCATTTATGACGGCTTCTGGCAAAAAAGACCCATGCTGGTAATAATCTGTTTATATTAAGCGAATGAAATAAACCAACAACTTTATTCTTGTCTGTTTTTCTGTTCGCTCTATAGATCATAATTATGACCCGAACATCACGAAATATTACACAGAAAAAGTGGTCTGACCATGTAAAAAGCATGACTCTTTTGATTAAGATCGGTCAATATTTAGCAGATTTGAGTAAAGTATACATAATTTCAAAATTTATTAATGAAATAGCTATTTTGTCAAAAAACTAATGATTTTGGGTGGGTTTCTGACGTTTTCGACGTATGTTAGAAATACATGCCAATTATGTTACTTTTTCTGACGGACCATCGTTGCTGATCCCCTCACTGGTTTAGAAATATGGCCACAGACATGATATATTCCTCAAGAACGGATTATCTTAAAAATATTATATTAAGTGAAATTGCTAATATCCTCTGGGCATCCATACTCCGTTTCAAAAAATCGATTTTCTTTTTATATTTAATTTGAACCTATAACTTCTTCAAATCCAGATATGTAATCTTTTTAATTGCGTTGTAATTTTGAGATACGGATGTTGCAGTGCCCAATTTCAAATGACTTTTATTTAATTACAAAAAGCTACAGCAGGCTGACAATTGTCGAAATTTTAAATCGAGTAGTAGGTAAGTAGGTCGTAGTCGATTTTCCAAATCATAATTTTCCTAGCTCCGCATTTGTTACAAACCAGTAAGGAAAGGAGTAAAGTCGGACTGGGCCGACTATATGATACCCTTCACCACTTTGGGTATATTGTCCTAACATTTTCAATTTCTCAATGTTCCCTCGAAGAAATATGCGCTTCTGCATTTAGAGATGTTTGCGTACAATGGGACATATTTATAGAAATCGATTCACGCCATTCAATATGCCCCACTGTTAGAAATTTAATCTCAATCAGACACCTGCTCGAAATATATATGGAAACATTGTCTGCGTCTAGGAGTTTGGTGCACCATTTACCTAAAATCGGAACCGATTTTCACGAAACTTAGTAAACTTCATTCTAAACTCAATTCAATACGCTATGCCAAATTTCGTGCAAATCGAAAGATACATAGGGGCTTAGGTACATCATTTACATGAAACCGGACGAAAATTTATATGGGGGCTATATCTAAACCTGAACAGATTTTTACGAAACTTTGCCTACATCATTCTAGACTCAATTCAGTACTCTAGGCCAAATATCGCGTAAATCGAATGACTATAGGGATTTTGGGGCACCTTTTACATTAAATCATACGAAAATATATATGGGAGCTATATCTAAATCTTAACCGATTTCAGGAAACTTAACTAGTGCAAATCCAAAGATGTATAGGAATCTTGGTGCACCAGCTATATTAAAATCTGAACCGATTTTTCCAAATTTCAATAGGGTTCGTCCTTGGGTCAAATAAATGTGCTGTGCCAATTTCATCCAATTTGGAACATAAATGCGACCTGTACTTGTTTAAAATATTACATGGTCAAAAGGACGGACGGACATGCATAAATCGACTTAGAAAGCGATCCATGTGGTTAATTCGTTTCCTTTTGCCTGAAATATGCAAAAGGACATAATAACCTGAACCACAGTGTGCTGAAAGGTATAAAAAAATAGCCGGTTGAAAATTTTTGAAATTTGAAATCGAGAGTGAGTAGGGTCCCTTTATATATGTCCGAGTCTTACATTGGGAATATTTCTATCAGGAGATGTTTTATTCTTAATAAAATCGAATAATCAAATCACAGAAACCTAAGTTCGAAAATTTGGATATGACCTTTGAAAGTCCCTAAAGTGGAGGGATCGTTATAAAAAACGATGTGAAAATATATTTATAAATTAAAACTAAAAACTGAATTTTTGTTTTATCTAAATTTCAAATATATTACCACACTTTATTCAAATAATCTCAAACAGAAAAGGCGAACCACAAAAGGGACGAAATCAACGTGCCTCCTTCACTTCCGCTCAATTTACAAATTTAATGTATCTAAAGTCCATATTATAAATTATACCTTTTTGTGTTTTATTGATGTGACATTTTGTTTTGGAATTTGTTAACAACTGTAATTTTATTTAACATTTTTGTTCTTGATTTCATTACAGATTGTACCTGGCGGCATTGCCTCAAAATGTGGTAAATTGCGTATGGGTGACCGGATACTTAAAGTTAATGATACCGATGTGTCACGTGCCACTCATCAAGAGGCTGTAATGGAGCTACTTAAGCCTGGTAATGATATTAAGCTAACCATACAGCATGATCCATTGCCAGCCGGATTCCAGGTAGGAATTTTTTTATTTGTATTATTGTTGTGGTTTCTTTTATATTTTGGTCAGTTATATTTTGTTTTTCGGTTTTATTCTTTTGTAAACCTTCCGGTTCATGGGTTGTCGTTTGTTTTCTTAAGTTAGATTTATGTTTTACCCTTCGATCCGTGCTGGGATTTTCTATTCTTTTTTTCGTTATTTGTTACGGTTTTCGAAAGCAATCACGTTTTGTAGTTCAATTTAAACACATTTCGCGTTTTTATTTATTACAATCTTTCTTAGTTTGTTTTTCTTGTTGTTGGGCTTTTATCCCTGCAAAAGAAACAACAACGAATTGATAAAAATTTATTGTAAAATATATTATCCTTTCTTATATTTTCTTTCTCACCTTTTTGCAACAATATAAACATAATTAATATGCGCACACCTACACAATCGAACAATAAATACATAGCTATTGCTAGTAGATTATATACCCACGGAGGTAAGCTTTTTTGTGAAAATTAAAAATTCTTAAAAATTCCCCAAAATAATCCTAATTGAAAAATAATTGTATTGATGTCGTTGCTGCTTTTTTATTTTGCCTTATTGTTTTTTGCTCTTTTTTGTATCGATGTTGTATTTAACTGTGAGAAAATTAATTGGACAGAGATTATTTGCGTTGTGGGGACGTGCTCTTCTACGATTATATTACCCTGGAAATTTTCGTACCCCGATTTAACACCTTTAGTCCGAAAATGTTGTTGTGTAAACTGATAATTAAGATCGTCATGTGACATTCGATACAATTGCATGAATAACTAATCGTACAAAAGGATTGTATTCGTTGAATACCGCATATTTTAACAATAGCTCAAAAATACGACGCTTCAAAATTTGTTTATAACAAATCATTAGTCGCTGGAAACCAAACGTGAGTTAATGTACTGGTCTTCGCAGACGAGCCAGATGGTATGTTGAAGATATTCTGAATAAAAGATAATCAGTGGAAAATCTTAAAATTATTCTATATATAAAATACCTATAGAGCCCCCAGAAGAGCCGTCAAATATTCAAACTCGATACGGGACAAATTAAATGACTTTTGAATACCTTCTACATTTAGAAGTTCTGAGGAATATTTTCTCTGTATAGGAAACATGCAACAGGTGTTTCAAGGGTCTATTTTGCCTATATTAGGCCTACAACATTTCTTCTGCCATTTATATACCTACATCATAATTCCGTTTATAGAAGATTATTTTAGTTCTTCCTTCTGTGTTTAGAAGATGTAGATGACCCAGGGAATATCTTCTGTATAAAAATGAAGACTGCCTAGATGAGGTATTTCCAATTTTAAAAGGCATGCGAAATGTTTTTGAAGGTTAACTCCGAAAGCACTTCGATGCAAATATTCGCCTGTATTGTCGGCAAAACTGGTTTTCCATAGTAAAAAAATTGCGGATGCGTCTATTCGAAACAAAATTTAACATGTGTTCATAACAGAAATGGAAGTTTCCAAAACACTTAACTTTTTTCTGTTTATACCGCGCTTTTTGTGCTAGGCTAACAACTGCCTTCATATCAAATGTTTTCGAAGTGTCTCAATCAGAGTGGAAAATGTGCCTCGCTACATCAGATGAACAGTCGAAGTTCCTTAGTTCCCTTCCGCTGTAAGTAATCCATCTTTTGCAGCTCATTAAATATTCTGAGTCATTTCAGCGGGCCTACAAAGATTCTCTGATACCGTCGCTTCATCTCATTCATAAATTTGACCTAAATCATCACCCATTTTATTTAAAATGTAGATTTGAAGCGATCCTTAAGGCACATCGTAGAGTGATCCACTGTTTGTAGTTCATTGGAGTCTAGTGTCGACTATTCATATAAAACCCTAATCACTTGTCCATCCTCTTTCCTATGCTATGGATTAAGAGCGGGTCGCAATCTTTCGAATTTACTCCAAGACCTTCCAAAGCCAACAAGAAATCTTGTCAAGAATGTCCTTAACGGACCTATATATTTGGTAGGTTTAGGACCCGTCCACTGGCGTAATTGGTCTCAGCCAACTCTTGATGATTTATCAACTATTCCACTGCTTGGGTAACATTTGTCGTAAGATACCAATTTTTTATGATTTGCAACACCTAACTATCAATTTAACTTTATTCGTCAAGTTAACACCTTACTTCTGTGGGGACAATTCCTTACCGTTTAGTATTCACATCGATAATTTTTCGCTATATTTCAACGTCTCTTCTTCTAATAAGATATATTCCTCTGCATAGGAAAAAAAAAAAAAATATGGGTCATCATAATTTTCATTCATATTGACCACACTCAATTGCCGCTACCGGTTGCCAGAGCGCAGTTGTCCTGATCAATGCTTTCTGACGTCTCAATAATTATCTACCCTATTGTCTGAAATGAACTTCTTCTTCACCGTCTCCCTTGCTGATGGGAGTAGTTTTTTGCGTCTCCTTCTCTCTTTAGAAATCTGCTTAAATCATGTCCATTGCATTACGATGCTACAACCTATCGCCTGGCCCATGCTCTCCATATGATTCTGTGTTTTCATTGCTTTCTACATCGTCCAGAGCACTTCGATCTCAGTTTATTGTGATAGATCTCCACAGTTCTTCTGTCCTGTGGGCTTCGACAATTACTGCTACTCAATTAATTTCCAAAATTTCATTTTGAGTTCTGCCTTTTAACTTTTCAGTTTCTTCAGGTATTGGTTATTACCAGATATTTTTTGTCACTGCTTTACACACATTAATTTTGTAATCTCAACAGGTTTAAAATTTTTTGAAATATGTACAATGACTTATAATTCGCATCTAAATATCCTTGCAACGTCACCTACTTTTTTGCAGATATTCTGTCATCTCTTATGACCCCCTTCTCTATATCGTCTCCTTACTTGGGATATGAAGTAGGAACTACGAAATGTGTACTGTATACTTTTAGGCGTTTTATCAGCTGATTAAATAGTTTCAAAATGTTAAATTAATTTTATTGTTAATTTCGATATAATCGAAAAAATTATTGCATCGAAATATACGTTCAAGAATCTTTGAAACAAATACGTTTCAGAAAATTTGCTCAGATATTCTATTTCCGATTAATTAATTTACCAACTTCTTTGAAACGATGTGGAGTCGAATCAATGCTTTGGTCAAAGCATTATTTCCCTTCTACACCCACTCTACTACACCGACACCCAAAGTTTCTAGGGTGTCCATTTCATTACTGTACCCCATATTCGGGTCGTCAAAATCAATAACACCTAAAATTATGCATCACATATTTGCGAAGTCCTTCGATATTGTAGTCTGCCACAGTTCAGTACTGTAACTGTAGAAAAACTAAACAAATTTATTCAAAGTACGTGAAAAACTACGCCTAAAAATATGCACCACACATTTCAAATGTTCTTCTAGTTAGGAGTTCTTGGCATTGGTGTGTCTAAAAAGACTTTCTGGATTCATAATTGCTACTTCAGATATGTTTAGACTATGGCTTCTAAATTGACTCGACTTGTTAATCGAGGTACCAAATCCTAACTCTTTAGACTGGTATTAAAACGAAATGAAGTGGATTTGTCAGCTGTTATACACATTTCCTGGTTTCGAAATTTCTTTGGCAATTTTTGAATCATTCAATATTTTCCTGACTTTCAGTTCGCCTATGATAGACTCCACGGCCTTTAGTTCATCTGAATTAGTTTATAAAAATATCTTCTTCAGTTAGTTTATGAAGGACTTCATGCTTCGGTTTATCTATGAAAGACTTTCTGCCCTTAAGCTCGTCTATTAAAAATTCCTTGCCAGTCAGCTCGTCTATTAAAAATTTTCTGCTTCAGATCATCTCCCAGCTTCAACTTGTCTGTGAAAGACTCCATTTGGATCGTCTGAATGACCTCCATGGCCTTCAACTCGTCTATGAAAGATTCCCTGCTTCAGATCATCTCCCAGTTTCAACTTGTATGTCGAAGACTCCCTTCAGATCGTCTGAAAGACTCCATTTCCTTTAGGTCGTCTATGAAAGACTCCCTGAGTCTGATCATCTCCCAACATCAACTTGTCAGTGAAAAACTCCATTCAGATTATCTGAAAGACCTCCATGGCCTTCAGATCTTCTATAAGACTCCCAGCTTTAGCTTGTCTGAGAAAGACTTTATGGCCTTCAGCTTGTCTATGAAAGACACCCTGCAATTCTGCTTGCCTGTAAATGACTCCTTTCAGATCGTCTGTGATAGATTACGTTTCTTAGATTGTCTGTGAAAGAGTCCGTGCTTCAGATCGGCTTTGAAAAACTCCTGGAGTCTGTGAAAGACTCCCTGTTTCAGATTGACTTTGAAAGACTGCCAGCTTCAGCTTATCAGTTTATCTTTCACAAACGTTCTGTGAAAGATTATCTGCCCTTCAGCGTGTCTATGAAAGAATCCCTGCCTTTCAACTCGCTATAAAAAAAAATTCCCCTGAGATCTCTGCGAAGGACTCTCTGCCGTCAGGCCATCTATTAGAGAATACCTGCTTCAATTCGTAAAATAATATTTTTTTCAGATCGTCGAGGTACCAAATCCTATCTCTTTAGACTGGTATTAAAATGAAATGAAGTGGATTTGTCAGCAGTTATACACATTTGTTTTTGACATTATCTCGATTAAGCATAGGATTTTGAGCAAATCGAGATGTTGAGTGGATTTTATTTTGTATGGTAAATTTAGATCGATTTAGCAATTAAATCGAGATTCTTCAGGTCTATGTATACATCACTGGCTTTCTGCTCGTTTATAAAGTACTCCCAGACGTTCAGCTCGCCTTTGAGCTTCAGGTCAGCATTCTGTATGCATTGTTATTGAATTTTATTTCAACATTAACCACTGTTCAAAATTGGTATTTATTTATGCCTCCGTTGACTTGGTTATAAGGCGTCATTATCCTCATAAATATTTCCTGTTTATATAATTTATGCACGTGTAGACATTTATAATTTTGCACATTTATAGTTAAGAAATATAAATTATTCGATATAAATAATAGTTCTATATATTTTTGAATTAGCTATGATAAAAGCTGCTGCTATTTTTAGAACTACTTCTTTTCAACATAAACTAAATACCTTAAATTGGCCACTAGCTATAATAACAGCACTTAGTAACTTCCCCTTAACATCGTTAAAAAGAAAAACAAAATACTACGAATAAGTTTGCAAGCTTTAACCATGATATATACTTACATCAATATTAGGGTGTAACGAAAAACAATTAGCCGGGGTTTGGTCTATAGAAATTTATGCTATCCGGCTAGCTTTTCTCTTTACACCCTATTACGAAACTCCACATACATACACATACATTTAATATTTGGTGTATAGAACAAAATCAGCGATTTCCTTTTAACATAACATTTTTTACTCATACTTCGTGTTTTTTCTCTTTCTCCTTTTTTTGTGTTTCGTTATAAATCACAGGAAATTATAATCAGCAAAACTGATGGTGAACGCCTGGGCATACACATTAAGGGCGGTCTTAATGGTCAGCGTGGCAATCCAGTTGATCCCACAGATGAGGGTGTATTTGTTTCGAAAATAAATTCCGTTGGTGCGGCCAGACGTGATGGAAGGCTTAAGGTAAGAAACTATTTTGAACACATACACACACCTATACATATACATATAAACAAATACGTACAGTAGTATCGCCATAATAATATTTTTAATGTTGTTGTTCAAGCTGCTGCTGTTGCACTGTGATTATCCTTGTCAGGATGATGAAAAATAATGTTATGTTATTGTGTGGGACATTTTTGTTGTTGTTTTCTGTCTCACTGTTGACCTTTACCTATTTTCAAGTGGCTTTTGTAATTTCTCTAGCCCTTCTTTATGCCTATCCGACAAACAACAGTTATTGTTGCTGTTGTTTAGCCTGGTGATTGTTTTATATTTAAATGGCTTCTGTTTAAGGATTTCCGGAATGTCCCAACACAGAGTCCAGTGTCGCCTTCTATGTTGTTTGTTACACATTGTGCATTTGCTGAACATTAATGTAGAAATTACATTCATATATTTTATGCTGTCATGCTAGATGGAGGGTGAAGGCACCGTAAACAAAGGGTATCGCACTCTCATGTTCTCCCCAAGTAAAGCTGTTGCTTACACCAACGCATATTTGTTTTGAAAACAGTTGGAATAGTTTTCCTCAGATGACGCTCTACTAAGCTGTTGAAAATATTGCAGTCCCTTTATTTATATATGGAGATACATATATAGTTGTTCTCTGAAAGGGAGTGGTGAATGACGCCTAAAAATATGCACCACGTATTTCGAAATGAAACTTTTTCAGCCCTAAACAGGCCTATCTATGTACCACTTCATTGGTTTGATTGAAAGTTTTTAAAAGGGCAAATCCGGAATAAATTTAAAATTGTCTCAAGAGGGAATAGTAGACGTCGCCTAAAAATATGCACCACACATTTCGCAAATGCTTTAATTTAATGTGTATTTGATTTTATTTGGATCTCAATACTCTCTAACCTTCAGCTAGTTTATTAAAATGACCTTATTCGGTTACTAAATAGGGACTCCCTTCTTCCGATCGTCTATATATGATCTCTGATATTTAACCCGTCTATAAATGCTGTCTGACTGTTAGTTCGTCTATAAGGTTTCCTGTGTCAGATCTTCCAAAAAGACATCGTGCTTCAGCTTGTAAAAAATGAGAATCGACTATAAAAGTTGTCTAACCTCTTTGCATTCGCCCGTAATGACACCCTGACTTAGTTCGTCTATTTGTTAACTCCCTGATTCAGCTAATCTAGAAATAATCACTGCTTATCTACAAAAAAACCCTGTTCGTCTATAAATTATCCTCTATGCCCTTCTACTCGCCTATGAAAGACTCTCTGCCTTTGAGCTCGTCTATGACAGATCACTGTCTTTCAACTCAACTGTGAAGGATTCCTTGCCCTTCAGCTCGTCCATGTTTCAGGTCATCGCCAAAAACTTCCTGATTCGGCTCGTCTATGAAAGATTCCCTAAATATCAGCCCATCTATGAAAGATTCCCTAACTATCAGACAATCTATGAAAACTCCCAGATCGTCTATGAAAGACTCCCGGCTTACAGCTCGTCTGCTATAGTTCGTAAAAATACCTTCTTAAGTTCGTTGATGAAGAACTTCTCACTTCAGTTTGTCTATGAAAGACTCTCTGCGTCACGTCTCGTCTATGAAAGATTCCCTGTTTCAGATCGGCTTTGAAAGACTCTCAGCTTAACCTGGTCTGTGAAGACTCGCTTCATGGCCTTCAATTCGTCTATGAAAAACACTATGGCTTTCAGTTGGTCTATGAACTTTAATTTGCCTGTAAATGACTTCTGTAAGATCGTCTTCAATAGAATCCCTGCTTCCATTCTTTAGATCGGTTTTAAAAAACTCCTAGATTCAGCTTGTCTGAGAAAGATTTCGTGAATCAGATTGACTTTGAAAGATTTCCAGCTTCATCTTGTCCCCTCATATCGTCTGTGAAAGATTCCTTGTCCTTCAGGACGTCTATGAAAGTCTCCCCGTCTTTTAGCTCGTCTATGAAAAATTCCACTCAGATCTCTGCAAAGGAATCTCTGCTCTTCAAGTCGTCTATGACAGAATCCCTGTTTGAGTTCCTTAATGAATATGTTTCAGCTCGTCTATTAATGACTCCCTGCTTCAGCTCGTCTATAAAAGATTCCTTGCATCACCGAGTCTAGGAAAGACTCCTTACTTCCACTCGTCTATGCAAGACGCCCTGCTTCCCTCATATACAACAGAATCCCTGCTTCAGTCCACTAAAAAATACTTTCTTTAGGTCTTGTATGAAAGACTCCCTGCATTATCTCGTCTATGATCTGAAGCAATGTTCATCTATGAAATATTCCCTACCTCAGCTGGTTTATTAAAAACTCTCATTGGATCTTGTCTTCGATTCGCTTAAAATTTGTTTTGTCTTGAGTTGATCTATAAATATTCCATGCTTCGGTTCGTCAAGAAAGATACCCTGGCCTCGCCCATACAAATTCCTCGTTCATAGTCTTTAGTTAGTTAGTATTTAAAGACTGCCAGGTTTTCAGTTTGTCTATAGAGACACCCTGATCTAAATCGTGTATAATGTAAACCTGATCCGCTAAAACTCCCTTCTGATCTCGTCTATTAGGAACTATCTTCTGAAAGACCCCTACGATCTCCTCAATGAATGACTCCTCTTCGATCTCGTCTGTGAAGAACTCCCTTCTACTCGTCTGTGTAAGTGTCCATTTGCAATATTGAAATGCGTGTTGCATACTTTTAGGAACTCCATATGTTTTCATAATTATTCAAATTGGAATACAAGTTATTTCATGAAAATTTTTAAAATTTCGGATCTCGTTTTTGATTCGCTTAAAATTTGTTTTGTCTTGAGTTGATCTATAAATATTCCATGCTTCGGTTCGTCAAGAAAGATACCCTGGCCTCGCCTATACAAATTCCTTAACTTTCAACTCGTTCATAGCGACTTCCTGCTTCAGTTAGTCTTTAAAGACTGACAGGTTTTCAGTTTGTCTATAAAGACACCCTGCTCTAAATCGTCTATAATGTAAACCTGATCCGCTAAAACTCCCTTCTGATCTCGTCTATTAACAACTATCTTTTGAAAAACCCCTACGATCTCGTCAATGAATGACTCTTCTTCGATCTCGTCTATGAAGAACTCCCTTCTGCTCGTCTGTGAAAGACCCCGTTGACAATATTGAAATGTGTGTTGCATACTTTAAGGAACTCCATATGTTTTCATTATTATTCAAATTGGAATACAAGTTATTTCATGACAATTTTTGAAATTTCCAATTTATTTTGTTTTTTAACTTGTATTTCCATATAAATATCCCAATATTGAAAAAATGAAATAAATATTTTTTGGTTTTATCAACAGTTCATTAAAAATGTATATAACGAACATGGATTTCCCCGAGTATTTGCATTTTCTTATTTACAGCATTTTTTCGTCTTCACTACTCAAATTCAAATTTCTTGTAATTCTACTACAATTTCTTACCCCCCGGAGATTTCCTTGGAATACAATAAACTATAATGACTTGAAATCTATGAAAATACAAAAAATGAAGCAGATTTACGACGAGCAAAACAACTGCAATAAATGCAGTAGGAGAAGTATAATACCAGCAGCATTGCAGTTTGATTTTTGAAAAACTAAAAATCGAAATAGAATAAGATACAAGTAAATTTCAAATACAATATCCCCCTCCATGGGGAAAAGCAACATTCGAATTCCACCATGCATTTTCAATGCAAACTAACTATTCAGGCAATGGGAATGCTGTAACAACCTTTTGCATCTGTTTCGTCTTTTTTTGTTTATAGTCGGTATTAAATTCGTATTGAAATTTGTGTTCTCCTTCTTCTTCTTCTTCTTGATTTTGTTTATGTGTATATATTTTCATGGTTTTGTTGTTGTTGTTTTTCTTACTGATTCGATTTTCTTGTTTTCCTTACTTACTTCATTTATTTATTTTTTTTTAACAAACAAAAACAGGTCGGCATGCGTTTGCTCGAGGTGAATGGTAACTCGTTACTGGGCGCCACACATCAGGATGCTGTCAATGTCCTTCGCAATGCCGGCAACGATATACACTTGGTCGTCTGTAAGGGATACGATAAATCCAATTTGATTCATTCTATTGGTACAGCTGGTGGCATGAGCACCGGCTTTAGTCGTCATGGTAAGTATTTTCTGTTTCTTGTTTCTTTTTTTGTGCGAATGTAAATTTAAGCAACAGGCGGCTAGATGCCATCTATCCCTGATACTACACCTCCCAACCTGATATTCCTTCACTCACTCTCTCATTTCCCAAAGTGCAATGCAATGTAATTGCATTTATATTTATTTTAAAGAAATATAAAGTAGTCGACGAGTATATATTCAAATGCAAATGTAATGTAGTCGGATGAATTTTAAGATAGTCTTGAGAGTTTTAAAATGAAATAATGTAAATGGAAAAGTGTTCTTGGTAGCAGGGATCAACATATAATAGAAATATTCTGCAAAATACTTTTTTTTAATAAAAGATTATATTTATTAGAAAATGAAATTAAATTTTAAAACAACAATGAAATTGTTGTATAAATAACAGTAACTTACTTTTGAAATTGTGGGGAAAGTGGAAAATGTGGGATGTATACTTTTAGGTGCCAGAAACAGCTGACATGTAATTAAAATGCTGAAAGAAATCTTAAGGCTGAAGCAAATATTAAGCCTTAAGAGACGAGCCGGTGTGTCATTCAAATACGATTTTAGTATAAAGTAATTCATATGCAGAAATGTGGGTTGCATACTTGTAGGCGCCATAAACAGCTGACTAGGAATATAAATTATAAATAGGTTCTTATACACATCAGAGCATACCTTTAGGCGCCAGGAAAAACTGATGTTGAATAGAAATGTTAAAGAAGGACCTCAAAGACGTGCTGAAGGGAATTGTTGATAAAATATCTCAATAGAGTACTTCATAGGCTGATTTTGAATAGGAATGTTAAAGTAGGACTCCAAAGGCGCGCTAATGGAAGATCTGATGAAAGTAATTTATAGGTGGGTTTAATATACAGTAATTTATTTTCGGAAGTGTGGAGTGTATTCTTTTAGGCTATAGTAACATCAGACTTACAATAGATATGATAAAGTACGTCTCTCATAGAACAATTGAAAGTCTTTCATAGCCTAGGCGAATATGTTCCTGCATTAAATGAGGTGCAGGTACCTCTTCGGTTGGCTATGAACGACTTTCAGCTCTTCTACGAGAGAGTAAAAATGCCAGCTCGTGCATGAGGGACGTAATTCGGAGTTTATATTACAAGTCAACTGTTACTGCCGCCTAAAAGAATGCACTCCTTACTTCCAAAAATAAATTACTGTATATTAAACCCACCTATGAATTAGGCTGACGTCAGAGTGCAAGCGAGATGCGATGCGATACTACATGCTATAAAAGTTCATGCTACTTCAATGCTATAGTATGTCAGAGTGAGTGCTAATTTAATTATTATATAATTAAATTAGGACTTGAGTCCACAGAAATCGCGACAGATTGATCCATGCCATTAAAATTCGATAAGATTCAAAAGAACGATGTCAAAAACCGATCAATAACGGTAAATAAGAATAATAAACAAAGAAACTCAAACAGAGCCAAAGCGAGCTCTTGCTATAAACCATTGCACAACACGCTTTATCGCTTGCACTCGCTTTGTCTCGCTTGTAGCGTAGCATCCACTCTGTCAGCTTTTGCACTATGCCATAAGAAAACACACGCAGAGGTTTATAGCGTCGTCTAGCGGCATATCATAGCATCGCTTCTCGCGCGCACTCCGACGTCAGCCTTACTCTCATCAGATCTTCCATCAGGACGTCTTTGAAGTCCTACTTTAACATTCCTTTTCAATATCAGCTGTTCCTGGCGCTCATGAACTGCATTTGAAGGGCCTTTCGTAGACGTGAAGCTGGGAGGCTTTCATAGAGAAGGCAGAATTTCATAGAAGAGCGACAGATCAGGGAATCCTTCATAGATTAATAGTCTACATTAGTGGAGTTTTCCATGAACGAAGATGTTATTCATAGACGAGCTAAAGAATGGAGTCATTCACAGACTAGCTGTATTGCAGGTAGTTTTTCATAGACTAGCTAAGGGTAAGCTAAGTCTTTCATAGACGAATTAAAGCAGGGAGTATTTCATAAATCAGCTAAAGTAGGAAGTCTTTAATAGATATGCTGAAATAGAGAATTCAAAGCCGAGCTCAATATGAGGGAATTTTTCATTGACGATCTGAAGCAGGGAGTCCATCATAGACGAGCTGAAGGCCAGGTATTCATGCATAGACTAACTGAACCCAGGAGTCTTTCATGGAAACAGGGATTCTTTTGGATTAAAGTGTGTCTTTTTATAGGAGCCAAATGCTGATAGACGAGTTGAAAGCCTGAAAGTTTGTAGGCGAACTAAATACCTGGACATTCTATAGTTGAGAAGAAAACCGGACGGTATTTTTTAGAGATGAGCGAAATAAGAAGGGAGTGCTCGGTGTAGAGGTGCAAGCTGGGGAGAAACAGACTTTGTATATAAAAATAAAATGGAATTTTTGTAAATGAGCTTTAGACAAATTAGCCCTTATAAACTAGCTGAAGATTAGGCAGGCTTTCGTGATGATTTGAAAGCTTGGGTTATTTGTAGAAGACCGGGAGGTCAATAAGTCTTTACATTATTAATGTGTCTTCTAAAGGCTATGGAGTCTTTATGTACGAATTAAAAATCACGAAGGCTTTATTATTAAGTTCAAGGTTCCGATGTCCTTTTAGACGAACTGAAGTCAAAGGCCATTGAAATCTGACGACCTAAAGTCCAGAGAGTTGACCTAGACAAAAAAGGCTTTGTAGATGGCCGAGTGCCATTTCAGACAAACTGAAGACTACGGAGTCTATTTGTATGAATTAGTTGTTTTAGGCGAACTAAAGACAAAGGACATGCTGCCTGACGACCTGAAGTCTTTAAAGACAACTTGACGGCCAGGTAACTTGATCTGAGGGTCTCCCTAAACGAGATGTAGTTCAGGGAGTCCTCATAGACGATCTGGAGGCCTAGAAGCTTTAGGGAACTTTCATAGGCAACCTAAAGACATGGACTCATTATAGATGAGGTGAAAAGCTGATAACCTTTATAGATGAAATGGAGGCTAAGAATTCGTTGACATGCGAGTTTAAGGTCAGGAACTATTTATTGACAGGCCGAAGACTAGTTTGTACTTCGAGACGAATTGAAGATCAGGGAGTATTTGTAGACGAACTGAAAGTGTAGAACCCCTTTAGACAATTTTATGGTCGGAAGCCTCTATTGACAAGTTGGAGTTTAAGTAGTCTTCACAACTGAAGACAGAGTCCAATAAGCCTGACGAGCTGAATTCTTTATAGATAATCTGAAGGCCAGGAAGTGTTCTTCGACGAACTGAATACTGGGGAGTCTTTTCGTAGACGAACTAAAGGTCCGGAAGCATTAGGTAGATTCTTTAGGCGAGCTAAAGATAGTGAGGCATTATAGATGTGCTGAGAAGCAGGAAATCTCTGCAGACTAACTATAGACTAAGGAATTTTGCAGACTCATTGAAGATCAGAGAGTCTTCATAGACGAACTGAAAGTCCGGAGCTTCTTTAGACATTTTAATAGTCGGCAGCCAGTACAGATAAACTGGAGGCCAGTCTTTGCAAACGAGTTGATGACATGTATGAATTTATACTCAATCTATAGATTAGGAGATATTTTTTGATGGATTGAAATTCTGGGATTTTTAACGACGAGCTGAAATCAGGTAGAGGATTAATTATTAATATTAGGGAGTATTTGTTGTTGATTTCGTAGTCAGGATGTGTTTTAGGCGATCTGAATGAAGGGAGTCTTTAAAAATTAGGTCATAGAATATTTATAGATGACATGTCAGTCAAACTTTATAGGCAAGCTTAGGGTCAGGGAGATTTTATAGCCGGGCAGAAGATAAGCGATTCCTTCTGCACGATTTTATTTGTCGAGCCCAAGATTAGTGAGTATTTATGTTGTTTGAAAGGAGGCTAATTTCTTCCAGAAGAAGTAAAGGTCTATAGATGAGATGCGAGCTGATGAGCAGACTACTCTCTATAGTGAAACTGGAGGGACCTGAAATTGAAGGCCAGGGTGTTATTGTAGACAAACGATTCCTTCTGCACGATTTTATTTGTCGGGCTCAAGATTAGTAAGTATTTATGTGGTTTGAAATGAGGCTAATTTCTTCCAGAAGAAGTAAAGGTCTATGGATAAGTTGCCACCTGAGGAGCAGACTACTCTCTATAGTGAAACTGGACGGTCTTGGAAATGAAGGCCAGGGTGTTAATGTAGACAAGATGAAGACTAGTAATACTCCCTAGTGAGAAGTTGAAAGCCAAGGAATCTGAAGATGATGTAATCTCTCTGGATGAAATAAATCGTCCTTGTCTTAAAGATTAAAGTCAGGTTGTTATTTTTAAGATCAGTTTTTATTGAGAAGCTTGGATTAGGGACTCCTTTTGGACGATCTGAATTCTTTATTGAAAAGCTCATGATTAGGCAGTATTTATACACTATCCTGGCAGCCTATATAGGTTATCTGAGGCTGTAAGGTTTGATGCCTTTATTGTCGATCTCAAGACTAGTGAATGTTTGTAGACGATCTGAATGGGACATTTGTATGTGATTTGAAAGGAGTTCAGTCTTCTCCAGTAGAAGTACATATCTATATATGAGCTGCAATCTGAGGGTATAAACGATCTGAGGTGAAGACAACCATTTATAGTGGAACTAAAAAGAACTAGTGAATTCTAAGAAAACATCCCAGTGAGAAATTGAAAATCAGGGAATCTGCAGGTAAGCTAATCTTTCTGCATGAAATAGGAAAATGTCCTAGTGAGAAATTTAAAGCCAGGGAATCTGAAGATGATGTAATCTTTATGGATGAAATAAATAGTAGTTTTTGTTAAGATTATGGTCAGGTTGTTATTTTGAAGATCAGTTTTTATAGAGAGGCTTAGCGTCGAAAAGTGCTTTCAGACGGGTTGAATATTAGGGATTCCTTTTAGACGATCTGAAATCTTTATTATTAAGCTCAATACTGCCTAATCAGTGTTTATAGACAATTCCAATGGAACATTAATTAGTATGCGATATGAGCAAAACTTATATATGAGCAAGTTGAAAGTTGAAAGGCACTGATATCCTTATAGCCATCATGAAGACATTATTTATAGAGATGATTAATTCCTTAATTCGGAGAGGAATTAAACGGCCATACTCTAGATTTTATTATTTAGCACACTTTCCTTTAGCATTTAACGTTTTAGCTTTCTAAACATCTCCCCGAACTGGCAACTCAAATCCATTTTGAATTGCTCTTAAATAGTTGTTTTATTAACTCAAGCAAAGGCAATGAAATATTCTTGCTCCCCTCATTGTAAACATTTCAGGGTTTTAATTCAAATCTTCCTTCTCAAGATATCCTTCATTGTTACAACTTGTGTAAAATATTTTCTAAATTTTGTTTATTTATTTCACTTCTACTTCCTTCTAACAGGTTCACGTGCCTCAGAGACTGGTTCAGAGCTCAGTCAAAGCCAAAGTACATCCAGTTTGGATCGTGATGAAGATGAACGTCTAAAGCATCAGGTACGTTTTCATTTTTTTTTCGTTTTTAATTTCCCATAATTAAACTTCAATATAAAGTGATGCTGCTACTTTGTTTTAAAAATTTAAACTTAAATGCAATATTGATGTTTGTGTTTTTTTTTTCTTTTCTTTTTTTCTGTTGTGCTCTTCTGTCACACACCCCTCATCTTTTCCATTTGCTGCTGATGTTTCCTGCTGCTGCCGCTCATGTTGTAAAACTTATCTCATGATGCTATGTGATGCTGCTATGTTGATGATATGTTTTGGATCCATGCTGTTGCTGTTCGTCCCCCTCCTTATTTGCTTGATTACAAAATGCCAAACTTTATGGAAATGGATGATGACTGGCTGGATGGTTGGTTGCTTGCCTGTCTGACTCGGTGTTTGGCTAATGTTGATGCTATACGAAAATGTTGTTGTTTATTTAAAGGATTTGGAAGTTTTTGCAACAAAAACTGGAACGAATAATGAACAGCAACAACAACAATTGCCAGTAGTGGCACACACCACACCAGCAGCAACCTCAGTATTAACAGCAAACACCGCTCCACAAACCACCAACGCCACCACTGTGCCAAAGGCAGCTGCAACAGATGTTCTACCCCCACATCAGGCTTCATTGCATCATGACGCGGCGCTTGTTGCCCAAAACCCAGAACAGTCCTTGGCTTCCACAAAAGAAAAGAGTACTCCTGAAAAAGTAAGTGTTATCTCATAGACGGAATGGGTTGGTGTTAGTAAGCATTGGCCCCCAAATATTGAATGCCAGGCTTTGAAACAGAATCTCATTGGAAGGCCTTTCTGTCTGTCCGTTCGTCTGTTCAGTACAAAGTCGTATCACTTGGTCTTGAATTCTATTGTAAATGATGGTAATGTGTTATGTTGGCTGCTAACGTATTGTATGAATGAATGCATGACACTGCAGTAGTTCGAGGTAGTTCTTGTAAGCCAAGTAGAATGTGTGTTAACACACATACACTTATACATACATATATGTTTACATTCATTCATTCAACACGATTTGTAGCATCCTGCAAAACACTATCACTTGTAACCTAGTTGCTACACTCTGTGCTACACACACATACACCCACATGAAGAACCTGCCGTCTCTGTGCAAACATATTTTTTGTTAGTATCATCTTTTAATTTGCTCCAAATGTTATCTTTCCTTGCCAAATGTTTCCGTGTATTTTTGCCCCTTTCTACATTTCCTGTTACCTTTGTTGGAGGGTACATAGCAATATTAAGGTATTTTTGTGTACCCATCATTGTATCTCTCTTTCCGTTTGTGTTGAGTTGATTCTGTTTCATACCTTAAGAAGATTTTTTTACATGAACCCTTGTGTTTGCTAAGAGACCAGGTATTTACCATGCTGAGGAAAAACAGGGAAGAACAAGATAACGTAATGCCCTTGATGTGACAAAAACTGCATTAAAATTTGTGTCAACAGTCGTATGTGTAAATTTTTTCTTGGTTGGGGGGCCAAGTAAATAGCTCTCGAAAAGTCACATGCGAAGTATCACGGATTGAAGAAAAAAGGAGTATTCATAAATGAGCTGAATCCCAGCAAGTATTTCTAGAAAATTTTGGGTAGATGTAAACTCAAAATCAAGGAGATCTTTGTAGTCGTGGCAAAGGATGTTTTTATAGATGAGCTGAAAGTGGACCAAGTTCTTAATACGTAGTTTTTCCACTCATAATTAAAACTATCTTCAGATTGGCTCATCTACTCTTTTATCGCTCTAGATCTTTTTGTTAATACGAAGACGATATATGAACTGAAAGTGGTCAAAGTCAAAAACCCAAATTCTTCAGCTCATAATTATAACACTCCTCAAATCAGCTTTAACTTGTTTATAAAAACTCGATTTAGCTCTTTTGTATCTAGCTCTTTTCGTTAATACAGACTCTATTTAGTTCGTCTACAAAAGCCTCGCTACAGCTCATCTATATTCTGCTCGACTATAAACTGCCAGGTTGATAAGAGGTTTCCTGACTTTCAGCTCGTCTAATAGCTTGCCAGACCTTCAGCTCATCTGGTCGTCCCTGCCCTTCAGCTTGCCTATAGAATACACCTTTCAGTTCGATTCCTCCTTGTGCCTCATTTTTCTCAGGACCTGCAAAGACTCCTGGCCTGCAGGCCGTCTATAAAAGACTCCCTGTATCCCCAAGCCTAAAAAAGTCTACCTGTGTCGGCTCGTCTAACTGCCTGCCAAATCTTCAGCTCATATGTTTCGTCTCTGGCCTCTTAGCTCATCCAACAGCCTGTCAGATTTTTAGCTCATTTGGTTCGTCCCCTGGCTTCAGCTCATTTGGTTCGTCCCCTGGCTTCAGCTCGTCTATAGAAGGCATCCTTTAGCTCTACTCCTCATCTTATAGTGCCTTCGAGCTTGGCTATAAAAGAAGCTTGTCTCCCCATTTTCCTCTGGATCGTCTAGGAAGACTCCCTGGCCTGCAGTTCGTCTATAAAAAAACTCTCTGCATCGACACACCTAACTGCCCGCCAAACCTTCAGCTCATATGTTTCGTCCCTGTCTAGTCTAGTCTTCAGTTTGACTCCTCCTGTTATGATGTCTCGTCTATAGAAGACGCCCTTAAGCTTGTCCCCTCAATTTCCTATAGATAGTCTAAAAACTCACTGCATCGTCGGCACACCTTTAAAAGTCTCCCTGCTTCATCTCTCTTCTATAGGGTTTCCTGACTTTCAGCTCGTTTAATTGCATGTCAGACCTTCAGCTCATATCTCTTCTTTATAAAACGCCCTGAAGCTTGTCTCCTCATTTCCTCTAGATCGTCTATTAAAGGCTCTCTGGCCTGCAGTTTGTCTTAAAAAGTCTCGTGCATCCGTATAAAATTCTATTTGCGTCGGCTCGTCTATAAAAGTCTCCCTGCTTCAGCTCGTCTATGAAAGATTTTCGTCTCAGTGCATATATTAAAGCTTCAGCTTAACATTGTAAGACTATGAAGAGACTCTCAGGCCTTGAGCTCAACGAAAGGGACTTCCACATTTTGGGTCTTTTATAGAGACTCCCAAATCTTTATCTTTGCTATAGTGATTTTCTGACCTTCTCCTCGTCTACAAAGACTTTAGACCTCCAGGTTGTATATATGGGCTTCCTCGTTTTGCTATAAAGACTTTCTTATAAAAAATGTACCGAACTTCACTTTCAGCTGCCTACTTCAGCACATCCCGCACTCATTAAACGTGCAGATCCCCAAAGGCGTCTTCAATGTACAAAATATCTTAAAAGAATTGTTTATAAACGGAATATCTCATGTGGGATCTTCTGTCTAGAGAATACCTTTAAAGGTACCTCTATGACAGACTCGCAACATATTTTTCCGCAAATTTCAGCTTGAAAATATAGTTTAAATAATTTTCACAAAATCAGTTTTGTTTTTGTATTTCAGCAATATTTTTTTGGCATAACAAACTCTTCAAATCTGAGTGAAATGAATGAATTGCAGCCACGTAATCTGCACTATAGTCCACAAATTATTGCCGCCTCTCACAAATACCCTCACCAAAAAATTCACTGTATTTTTTGTTATCATTTTTAATCTTAATGCTCCATTTATTTTGCAATTCTTTTTTTTTGTTCTTGTTTGTCTGTGTTGCAGGTATTAGAAATTGTACGAGCTGCCGATGCATTTACCTCAGGACCACCTAAATCACCATCGGAACATCATGACCAGGATAAAATCCAAAAGACTACCACGGTGGTGATATCAAAGCATACACTTGACACAAATCCAGCACTGCCAGCGGCGGCAACATCACCTACAGGTGTGGCGGGTAGTGGTGCTACAGTGGCAAGTGGAGGTGTTGGTGGCACTGCTGTTACACCCTCACCAACTTCGTCCTCCACCACAACAACTTCATCACCTGTTTCACAGCCTCAGACACCCCAGGTATGTGTTTAAAACAAATTTTCATTTTTCAAACATAAAATCTGTCTCACACACACACATACATACATGTGTAATGTATGTACTCAATGTTCTCGTGTTTCTTTCCTTTTTTCTACATACATAAATATATCCTTATGCAATGTTTTTTATATGTATGCATTTACATAAACATATATATGTGTGTTTTTTCTACGCCACTATATATCCTTTAAATGTTCTGTCTGTATATATATGTAAAAGGATATATATGTGTGTGTCTGTCTTGATAAATGTAAGATTTTCTTCTTCTACTCTACTACTACTACTCGTACTTGTTCGTTTCTTTTACAAATCTTTACTATTACATATGTATGTATGTGTATGAAAAATATATATATATATTTGCATACTATTGTGTGTGCATTTCCTTTTTATATATATGTATATCACTTCCGCATTTATTCTACTTACTTACATGTTGTTCTTGTCATATGTTTTTGTTGTCGTTGTTGTTGTTATTGTGTTTAATCCATTTCAACAAGTTTGTGTTGTGTATTTTAATCCTTTTTTAATGCTAGTGCTAATTTGTATTTAACTCATCATCTAGAACGATGCTACAACAAAAAAAAGTGAAAACGAAAGAACTAAAAAATATAACAGACTTGAGAAAATAAAGGGTGAACATTTGTTTTTCATTTTGGCATGATAAAAAATAAAATAAAAGTTTAGAAGAATCCTCATGAAATTAAAAAAAAAATATGCCTTCGCTATATTAAAAACCCTTTTGGAGGTGTAGATATAGAAGTCCACTTGATAACCCATTCTAAAGGATGTCTTTAGAAGGGCTTCATATTAGGTTTTTTTTTTTTGAAATATAAAATTTTTGAAATATAAAAGAAGATCTCTATAGCATACGTTGGGAGGTCTTCTAAATACGCAAGACCTCTTCAGGTCATCTCGAGGGTCCTCCAACATTTAGAATACCTTTTGAGGGTCTTCTGCATATATAAGACCTTTTAAGCGGTATTCAGCCCATAAAAAACCTCTTAAGCGGCCTTCTACCTATAAAGGCTCACTTGAGCTGTGTTCTACAAGAGACGAATTCTTAAGTTGCCTTTTGTTTATTAAATTGATAGAAGACCCCTTACGAAACTAAAGAAGAAAATCACAAAGAAATCTACTTGAGCAGAATCCTATGAACCACTTAAAGGAACTTCAATCTAAAAAATACATCTTTGTAGGAGTCTCTTTTTACGGAATACCTTTTAAACAAATTCCATAAATACATGTCCTCTAAATGGCTTTTCTGTAGAAAGGGGACTTCTTGAGACGTCTTCTATCTAATATCCCTTAAGTAGCCTTTAAATTAACTTCAGACCTTTTAATAAGTCTTATATGCATATATCTAAAGAAACCATCTTAAGGCTATCTATGAAATATTATTTAAGAGGTTTTATATCTAAAGCAGACCTCTTGAAAGGTCTTCTCTATCTAATGAATATATCCTTTTCATGTATAGAAGATCACTAGAGATGTCTTTTATCTATGAAATATTTCTTGAGATGTTTTCTTTCTATAGAATATCTAGGGATCTTCTTTCTATAGAATATCCCTTGAGATAGAAAACCTTTTGTGAGGTCTTCTGTATTTTGAAGATTTCTTTATGGGGTTTTGAAAACATTGTGAACTCTACTGCTTATAGAAGACCTAATACAAATAATTCTATAAATAGATGAGCTCTAGTAGATAGAAGACATCTGGAGATGTCTTCTTTTTTTTTGCAATAGACCTTTCTTTCTATTTGCAATAGACCTTTAAGAGGACTTCTATATGCCGAAGTCATAATCTATCTCTGTCATATCTTCTAAGAGGTATTCTATCTACAGCCAACCTCTTGAAAGGACTTGTATCTGATGTGTTTTCTATCTAATGAAAATCTCCTAGAGGATTTTGATGTATAGAAGATCCCTTTAGTAGTCATTTATTTATGGAATATCTCTTGAGAAGTTCTCTGTCCATTGAACACCTTTTGAGGGCTGTTCTCTCTATAGAAAATCTCTTGTGTGGTCTTCTGTATTTTTAAGATGTCTATTTGAGTCTTCGAAGACATTAAGAGTTTTCTTCTTATAGAGGACCCCTTAAGAAGAATTCTATAAATAGATGACCCCTTGAGGCGTCTTCTGTAGATAGAAAACGTTTTCAGGTGTCTTTTTTAACCTCCTTCTATTTACAGTGTACCTCTAAGAGGCTTTCTATATGCCTATCTCTGACATATCTTCTAAGAGGTATTCTATTTACAGCCAACATCTTGAAAGCAATTGTCAGTCTATAAAATACCTGTTGAGGGGTCTTCTCTTTATAAAAAATCTCTTGTGTGGTTTTTTGTATTTTGAAGATCTCTATATGGGTCTTCGAAAATATAGAGGGGTCTACTCCTTATAGAAGATATTTTACGAAGAATTCTATACATAGGTATCTGGAGTCGTCTCCCATATATAAAATCTATCATTTACATTAGACCTTTTAGAGACGTTCTATATACGGACGTCATATTCTATTTCTGACATATCTTCTAAGTGGTATTCTCCCTACAGCCAACCACTTGAAAGGTATTGTAGCTGATGTATTTTCTATTTAAAAAGGACTTCTGTCTGGTGTAGAAGATCTCTTGATGGGTCTTGTATTAATGGATTTTCTCTTCAGGAGATTTCTGACAATCTGTCTCTATATAAATCCTCTTGAGGGGTTGTCTATATTTCGAAGATCTCAGGAGGTGTCTTCTGCATTTTGAAGTTCTTTTTAGCGGTCTTCGGTTTATATTAAGGTCAACTGTAGAATATATCTTGAAGATTAGTATCTGTTACCAAACACATATTAAAGGATCTTCTTGAGGAGTCTTCAATCTACGGAAGAACATTTGAACATTTAATATGATTTTAGAAGTAGAAGACCTCTCAAAAGTATTTAATTTTAAAGAAAAAAACCTTAAGAAGTCTTCTGTAGATAGAAGACTTCCTTAGGAGAGATCGATAGAAGACACTTTGAAGATTTCATATCTTTAGAAGACTAACTGAGGATTCTTTATTTAATAGGAATGCTTTTGGTGAGCCGTTTTTTATAGATGTCCCCTTGAGGGGCCTTTATACAAAATCAAGAAACAAATGTTCAATACCTTATCTATCTACCTTTCCCATTTTAAAAGGATATTTAACATCCGATGATATAATTTTAATACACCACTGTTCATACTCTATATGCAAAAAGTTACAGTTAAAAAAAATAATACCAACAATACTAATACTAACACAGAATGAAAAAATGCAATAAAAAATACTGTTTACAAAATTGTTTTTAACAACAACAAAAAAATTGGTTTATATGTTTCAATATGTGTGTTATTCTAAAATCAAATTACATATGTCTGTTTCGGAGCGCACACACACACAGAATACACAAATACATACTTACTAAACCACTTACCTGAACAAATACGTCCTTATGTTATTTAAGTTATTTTCTTTTGTATGTAAGTTAAAAAGTTATCGTTGTTGCTGTTGCTATTCGTTTGTTTGCTGTTATTGCTATTGTTGTAATTTTGTTGAGCCTTTTTAGAACAACATCAACATTCTGATGTTGTATACATTGTCTTGTGTGTGTTTGGTTTAAAATTTTCAACAAGGAAAATGTTTAATTTCCGGTTTTGATTTTCATAATTAAATCTTTTGCAAATGCATACAAGTAAATTACAGGGGGTATAGGAATCTGAGAATGTTTGAACATTATTTTCCTGAATACGAACATTATGTAAATTGTTATTCTTGCGAAGTTTTTTTTTTTTTTTTTTTTTTTTTTTGGAATTTCAATTGTTGTCATTGTTTAAGAATAATTTAATTTGTTCGTTTTCGTTTGGCATAACTTCCGTTAATTTTGTGGTTTGTAAATTTTTATTTTGTTTGGAAAACTATTTACTTATAATGGGTTAGGAAAAAAGTTTAATTCTGGCATATTGCTTTAGTGTTGTAGGCAACATCCAACTTATATAAATTGCTGTGAATTAGCTTGTTACTACATTAGCTTCGAGAGCTACAACGATCAATATGATGACCAAAGGTTTACGGAAATAGAATTAAAAGTTTTTGAAATATATTTATGAAATTTTTACATATTTGAAAAATTATGTATTTGAGTATATATTAAAATTATGAAAATGTTTTAACCTGAGAATCGTATACAAAGCAATTGCCGCATAATGCATGGAAATCCAGATAAATATTAAACACAGAATTAGCTTCCTTCAATTTATCCAAAAAGGGTAAAAAGTCAAACTTATTATTTGAAAATTCGATTAAAAAATGAAAATAGCCGTATAAATCATTCAAGAAAATTAATTATTAATATGTTAGGAATTCTGTAAAGTTTATACGAAATGTATTGATGTCCATTCTTCCTTCTTGGTTGCTTTTATATAGTCAATTCCAATGTTTAGTTCAAATAAAATACGCTTAATACGTTAATTAAAACTTTTCAAAATGTTGAGTTTTTATGAGGAAGAGGAGGATGGCTTCCACATTCAGAATTAATCTATGTTTGTGGATACTACGTTCGCCTTATATTATACAATTATTTGGTTGAAATTGGATACACTGATCGCATGATTTTATGAAATTAATTTTCAGCTAATTGTTACCTTTTTGTGCGGGAGGTAACACACTTTCCTCATCTTCGAACTTGATTTCATTTTTACCAAAATATTACAGTTTGAATCGCCTAATATTGTATTCATAAATATTGAAAATGTTAACCCTTTTTGAGGGAGATGCCAGAAGGAGTGAACCAAAGGGTCCCATTTTCGGAATTGATCTATGCTCGATAAAGATAATAGTTTGTGCAAAGTTAGATACAAATCGTACCAGTAGGAGTGGACCTAGATTCTTCATCTTCGATATGATGATATTACAAAATTAATTATCGGCAAAATTTTCGGCATTTTTTGGGGGAAGTACCAATATGAGTGGACCTAT